TTTTCAAGAGAGACCTGTTTAGGGAGCACATGGTGGGGGTTTAGGGCCTTGCTCAGGGGCCCAGAGTGGGGCAAATGAGGGTGGAGGCAGGTGTGGGTGTTTCACCTTTTCCACCCACATTTTTGATGTTGACGGTACCAGGAGTTGAACCTGCGACTTTCCGATCACAGGCCCATCTTCTAACCCCTGTGACACCACTCCCCCATGAATCTTGTGTCATGGTGAAACTAAAAGTTGATCGGTTTAATCCATCCATTATCTTTTACCCACTTCGTCCTTTTCAAGTTGCAGGGGTCTCTGGTGCCCATGTCCAGCTGTCACTGTGAAATGCAGGGGACACCCTGGACAGGTCTCCAGTCCATCACAGGGACACATAGAGACAAACAACCATTCACTCTCTCACTCACACCTAGGGACAATTTAGAGTTATCAATCAGAATAACATGCATGTTTTTGGTCTGTGTCCAGAGTACGCAGAGAAAACCCACACATGCACAGAGAAAACATGTAAACTCCACCCAGAAAGGCCTCCAGGCTGGGATTTGAACCAACGACCTGCTTGCTGAGAGGAAGCTCTACCAACTGCTAATCGGTTTAATGATACTTTCCAAGACGTTCTTTAAACTAGTTTATGAGATATTTTGCTAAAAGTCAGACACACCTAAACACATTAAATAATCACTTGCCAGCATTTATGACATCATTGATTAGACAAGACAGGACATGCTTAAGTTTCATGTTTATTCTGAAGGAAATAACAGAAGGTTTAACTTGCTAAAATTTTAAAAACTAGATTTTAAGTGCTTCGCTCTCTCAGCACAGCCTCTATTTTCTATTTATTTGAAAAACTTTCATCCCAGCAAACCCTAAACTAGGGCTCTGCAACCTTTACGATCAAAAGAGCCATTTCTGCCCCTTTGTTCACTAAATTAAATATGTCCATAGCTGCAAAACCTGCTACAATTGTCATTATCAACTGGTGGCCCATGGGCCACTTTATGTTTGTTAGAGGGGGGTTCTTCCTTTTTGGGTTGCAGGGGGGTCACTGGTCCCCATATCCAGGTCGCAAGTCTGTCACAGAAGACTGGATTTTTGAAAAAATAAATAAATAAACAA